CCTTTTATTTTTTCTTTGAGTTTTCTTGTGCAATGTTTTTTTTTCTTACAAGACAATCTCCTTTGTCTCTTTCTTTGATTGCATGTATGTTTAGCTCCATCTCAAAGCAGAACTTTGAACTCGATTTTTTTATTTTTTTTTCCTTGGTTTATCCATTTTGGTGGATTTATAGCCAAATTTTTTATGTGTTTAAGGTCACTTTGGATTTATCTTTCAAGGTTTTGGAATCCCTTGCAATGTCCACCCTTCCCATGACTATGACTACAAAGTTATTTTGTCTAATTATTGACATCTAGAAAAAACAACCCAGAAACGGAACCATTCTGGCCACCGGTTTCCAGGTCGACAGTTCAACCGTCCGATTTGAACGGATGGCCCGTTCTGACAACAAAAATTAAAAATAAAAAATGGCCAAAAACCGTTGAATGGGTCGAAGGTTGGCAATTCCAGGTCGACAGTTCAACCGTCCGATTTGAACGGATGGCCCATTCTGACAACAAAAATTAAAAATAAAAAATGGCAAAAAACCGTTGAATGGGTCGAAGGTTGACAATTCGACTGCCTGGGTCAACGAGTCATTGACTGATTCAATGATTTTTTGCTAGGGACTAGGTTTGGGGTAAAAGGGAACCAATTGCTTAGACGATTCCTGAGCTGAACGGTCCTATCATTTGGGTCAATTAGGAGTTTTCGATGTAAAACAAAGGACAACTATGAAGTAGAACTTAGAACTACCACTATATGATCGTGTTCTTTTATTTGAGATGCTTTGTTGAAACAATATTTAAGAAATGAGCACATGATATCTTTTATGTCTTTATATGAGTTTCAAGACTTGAGTACTTATAATTACAAGTTTCTTATTAAAAAACCATTGTCTTTTTTAATATAACAAATAGTAATGTTATAATTCCATTCCGGCCCATGCGAAATGAACCAAGAACGGTTCAAATCAATGGTGGTACATCCCTTAAATACTTCCAGTCGAATTAAAATCTGTTCCCCACAATTGGGCTTCCCACCAACGCCCCACACTATCGAAAGGCGCCAAGTGTCCTCTCGCACGATTTCCTCCCTCAGCGTGCGTGGAGCTAACGGGACGGCTGTTAGCTCCAAATTCCCGCTACTCTCAACTCTCGACCTGGCCTCCTCCATCTAACTTTGATCCACCCCTACACTTCTACATCCGAGCTAACGGCAAGAACTCCAGCGACGAAGACCGTTCCGGCCGACACACCGGAGGTATTCCCCGTTTGCCAGTAGTCTCTAATTCTCTCCTCCAACTTTCTATTCATCAATCGCTCTTTTTCTTCTTCTACTCCAGGGAGGAACCTTTTGTTTTCGATGGCCATGCCGGACGGGGCCAAGAAACTAAAGACGTCGAACTATCCCCGCTATGTTGAACCCTTGGCGGTTCTACTATCCAGCGTCTGGAAGATCTCGCATTCGCATGCTGTAATCCTTGGGGAAGAACTTGCTTCGGAGGAGAATGATTTGGTGTTCCCTAGTGAGAGTTCTCTCGCTAGGCTCTGGTTCCATCGCCAATGCAGGTGAGCGTCAATTGATCTACATAAGTCGGAGTATTGGATCACTAGAAATCAATATTTTGGCGCGTTATTTGAAAATGGGTGTTCTTCTTCTTCTGCACAAAATTTGAGGCATTCATTGAATATGGATATTCTTAATTTTGAATGTGGGTATTTTTACATAGAATTCACTTTTTCTATTTTTATTAGAAAATCCAAGTTTTGATGCAATAAAAAAATAGATGAGAATGAATAGGGAAAAACTGAACCTGTATAATGGCCGGGTGGTCGCCGGTGATTTCCCTTCCCTTCTGTGTTTCGTATTGAAAAAAGAAAAAATAAGATAAAAAATAACTCAGCAAAACATGTAAAGGATGTTAGAGAGGGATGAGATAAGAGGAACGGGGAGTACCTCCGGTGTATTTGTCGGAGTTCTCGCCATTAGTTCGGATGGAGGAGTGCAAGGGTCAAGAGACGAGGGCAGGTCAAGAGTTCAGACTTGAGAGTAGCGGGAATTTGGAGCTAACGGGATGAGCTAACGTCCGTCATGTTAGCTCTACACGCGTTAATGGGGAATCGTGTGGAAGGACACTTGGCACCTTCCGATTGAGTGGGGGCATTTGTGGAGCGTCCAGCCGTGGGACGCAGATTTGAACTCCTTATGAGCACCATAATACATCTTTCTTGAGCTTTTGTGCAAAAGTATACATGGAAATGGAAAGATAAGATAGGTGGAGAAAATAGGAGAGCATCAATTTAAAGTTCAAAATATTGGTATCGCATATCATATAGTAAACTTGTATATAGATATGTATCACGATACGTTTTAGATATACATGGATACAGTGGAAATATATGGATATATCTGAATACATTGAGGAAATTCTTACAAATTTTATAAATACATCAATAATAAATCCAAAGTTGAAATAACCTTCAGTATAAACATATAAGAAAATGTAGACATTGATGGTTTATATTGGCATACAATTACTTTACTAATAATTAATCAGACAATTTTGCCTCTTCTAATCTACAAAAAGTTCATTAGAAGACATTAAGGGACTGTTTGGTACTGTGGCTCAATAAAGCATGGATCTTTTCAATCCATTGGGCCTCACTGTAGCATGAAATCACACTATAGAAACGACATCACACTTTGTCAAGGCATTCTACACTTTGATGTTGACAGTGTGAATGGTTATCAAGAAATTTTGAATAAATCACCTTAATTTATAGACAACTTTGGTGTTAACAGTGTGAACGATTGCACCTGTTATGACGTGGATTGGTCTACGTAAGAATGGATGATAAATTGAAATATGGCCCAATTCAATCCACTTATAGTGTGGACTGAACTAAGTTATGCCTCAAACAAATGTTCTTTGCATCATGGCGTGGATCAAACCCAAACCATCCTTCTTATAGTTCTTCCTTACTAGGAAAGTCATTTAGAATATAAAAAATAACTGATTTTTTTTTCAATTTTTTAAAAATTAAAAATTATTGTTATATCAATGAGTTTAAAGCATCATTGATAGATTCATTTATAGTTCTTTTTTGCAATTAAAATCATTTAAAACAAACAAAAAATCATTTATGATTTTCTATGGATTATTGGTACAGCCTATAGAAATTGTCAAAAGTTAAAAAGAGTCAACATTTTTTGGCCTATGTTAACGGTCATGGAGCTATAGCTGTTATATGATACGTATTATATCATGTCAATATTTTAAATCTTGTTTAAATTAGGTTAGAAGCATTCTTATCTTGGTAGATGGGTGACTAATGGGTTGGTTAGTATCTTTCTCTACCCCTTCTGGTTGGGCACAATAAATGATACATTGTTAATGTCTTAACAATGGGCAGAATGGCGTAACCGTAAAGTTACAAATGGATTACATCAAATTGAATATATATATATATATATATATATATATATATATATATATAATTTGATTCATTTGCATTTGGATTAGAATCAAATATTGTCGCGTGGAGTTAGAATCCAAGCATTTTAAATATTTGCTACATGAATCAAAATTTTAAACAAACACATTTAAAAGGTGTACTTACCGTTTCATATATACCTTCACATTTTATAAGGTGTACTTACCGTTGAAGAATTTTACAGCATTAAAAATTCAAGGGTTCGACTATGATATGAAAAAGATATAATATCCAAAAAACAACTGACCAATAAACTGTAACCATAAACGTAATAGCGAATCAGGTGTTATTTATCAAAATTCATGAGTGAGTTTTGATTGATCAAAACTCTTTCCATATCATATCTTTCCCGTATCATAAATTTTTCCAAAATTAAACTGCAGTATGTTGTTTTATCACTATTTTAAGTTTTTGCTTCACAGTGCAGTTCATGCACTATAGGTTTTGCCTTTGATTTATATCAGAGTCAAATTGAATTCGGATTAATTGGATATTGAACAACATTCATAAATTAAACTAAAAATGATCAAAATACTATTTATTATTAATAAATAAATCAAAACTGGTTTTGATGTATCATGAACAAAATACATTGAAAAAAAAATTATGAAACTTTCAAGTCTTTAACCAATGACCCTTTTTGTAAAAACACAATATTCAAACTAACAATATAAATTTTAAGTATACAAGCATATAAAATTTAACCCGAATGGGATCATCATATAGGGTGTATCCATATTCAATTAAAATGATCGAATTCAGATCACCCTTAACTGGATCAAATTTGAATTCAAATTTAGATAAATAGACACCATTCGAAAGCTGCCCTATATAAATCTGATCAATTAAGTACAGTTTTCTTCCTTGGTTTTAAAGCCGAGTCACTATGCAGCAATTACCATATCCTGGTTAAACCTATTCGACCAAGAGTAAACCCGGAACCATTTTTTCCCACACAGAAATCCCAATTCGGTGATCTAATAGTCATGTAGAAACTAGCTTCCCAAGCTATAGGTCTATAGCCCAACCAATGGGAGGGGTTCTCATACTGGGAAACTAACTACTAAGCAGGTCCAGAAATTAAATCTCTCATCCAAGTGGATAGACCAGCCATATACCAGCCGTTTACATAGCCCATGGACCATACCCAGCGATCATACCATCATCTTAGAAAACTATTCTCAATCAACCAAGAAAGTGAAGAAAGAAAAGCAATAAATTTGTCACAAGGAAATGGCTAGGATAATCACTTCAGGTTAGGAGCTATACCCATTTTTTTAAGATAAGTAGCTATACCCATTTCACAAAGGAAAAAGAAAGAGAACAAAATAAAGAGTAAGAAAAGTAAAACCCCAAAACTGAGAACCTTGAATAATTCTGTTCCAATTGAATTCAACTACTGAATGGTTGATGAAAAGGGAGTCACAAAATTCGCTAAAGAAATTGAAAACCCTCCCTGGTTCTCCTTTACTATCTGTTATCCTCAACAGAAAGAAAACAAAATGCCATCACTTGTCCCATAAGGAACACAAACACTAAGGAACCAGCTTCATTGAAAAGCATCAGTAAAGCGGTAATGAAGTGCAAGGTCTCAGGTTACATCAGGAGGATTTCACAGAAGACTAGGACTGTATTGAAGCCAAGTAACTAGGAACCCTGTTAAGGAGGTGAACAAACAAAAAGGTGACAATACAGAACCCCGACTGCTTAACTGCAATACCTTTGAACATTAAACCATAAAGCCAGTGTATTCCGTTCGAGTACATAAACCACAAGAAGCCATGAATTCCTGAACAGCAAAACCAAAATCTTAAGCGCTAAAAGGCTGAACATATAAGTATAGGACCTAAACTGTCAACAAAGGGGCCCCAAAAATCAGTGGACCTTGGAGAAACATAACCCCAGAAACACTACAAAACGCTTTAAATCCAAACAAATTGGTACCCATGGTTGACAAAAGACACATAGCACTGCAGAGGAAATCAATCCTGCTTGCTCTGAGAGAGCCTTGCTCGGTGTCTGAGCTCAGCCTTTTTCCACCTAACGATCAGATGGCATAGTGAAAAAAGGGTGCTCATCTGCAATGGAATATATGAAAATATTGAGCCCGCATCCATCTAGATAAAAGAGAAAATAACAGATAACAGGTAGTTGAGATCACCGACCAAGATTATGATTGCAATTATGAGAAGAGGCCCAGACCAGAGAACGGAGAGGAAAAGGCCATGCGGATCAAAATAATTCTGGGTTGCAAAGCTTTTCCAGTTCTGACCCAAGAGACTATTGATCTTCTCAGCAAGATATACACCACCCACTGTAAATATCAGGAAAGTCAGAACTGGATACTGGCATGTCATGACTACTCAAGACAAGTTTCATGTGTCATGTATGCAAAACCACAAACAATAATACATTTCAAGGTTAAATAAACAGTCACCAAATTTTTCACTAGACTGCATAGTAAATGTTTACTTGCAACTTGAAAACTGGAGCTAGACTAGGTATACAGAACAATACAATTTGAGATTATACAAAGAACAACCAAGAAATTTCAATTGCAGCTGAAGGTACCAGATATTCTTAACCATGGAAAAGACCGTTTTCCAAAAGTTGCACTTACATGTAATATGTGATCTTCATTAATAAAATATTGAAGGTTAATTGTGAACTAGAGTTGGGTATACAGAAAATAATGCAGTTTGAGATTACACAAGGGACAAGCAAGAAATTTTAGCTGTGGCTGGACGTACCAAATATTAAACCACAGGAAAGGTGTTAAAGGTCCCACTTATGTGTAAGATGCGCTCTTTCTTAATAAAGTGCTCATTAAACCTCAAAAATACCATGGTGGAAGGAGATTCAAAAATAACTATCCCTACTTATCAAATAACAAATCTATCTCCTTATTACCTTTCAAAAAAGAAAATAAACATAGAAATATGTAAGAGACACAAGACAGTAGAAGAATTAGGAGCTAATTCAGTAGACACCAAGGGAGGGAACAATTTGGTGGATGCTTTAGCCAAAAAAGAGGCTGTGGAAGGGTGTATTTGGGTTGGTAAAAGAGGCCACCAGGTCTCATTGGGGTGATCGATATATTATTTGTACATTTACATTCTTTTCCATAAATCAATAAAGTTATGAGTTCATCATCATCATCATCTATGCCTTATCCCAACTATATGGGGTTGGCTACATGAATCCTGTTTTGCCAATCTGTTCTATTTAAGGCCATATCCACTGTTAAAATTATTAGTGCTTAAATAATTTCTTACTACTTATACCCATGTCCTTTTTGGTCTATCTATAGCTCTTCTAGCCACTTCCAATTGTAACAAATCACTTCTTCTAACTGGAGCTGTTGATGATGTTCTATGCACAGACTAAACCATCTTAGTCCACTCCCATTTTATCACCTATTAGAGCTACTCCTAGGTTCCTACAGATGACGGCAATCCTAATCCTATCATTTATAGTTTTTCCACTCACTCATCTTAGCATTCCCAAACTTTAGCCTGTTTGTTGTTAGCTAAGGCCCTCCCTTCATTTTGTAAATGAATTGGATATCAAACAATATTGAAATCTCCATTGTTGCACCATGGCACATCCCACCTGTATGAGATTCCCTCTAACTCTACCCAAAAGGTTGCCTTATGATTGTTTTCATTTGGTCCATATACACCGGATAGCATCCAACTAACCGCATCATCCTTGTTCTTACATTAATAAAGAGTGAAGTGGCCAAGGTTTTGTGGGGCAGAGCAGGAAACAGTGGACCACCACTTCCTCCACCATTCTTTGTCGGAGCTGTAAGCCCAATTCAGCAGGCTCCTACCCCAAGAACCCTGAGAGAGTGATGCAGTGCTCTGTATGGACAGAACCTGAAATTGATACGGCTGCAATCTCCAAGCTTGAAATTAGTATGATTTCGGGTCCTTCAGTGAACCAGCAATGGTCTAGAAGGGGGAATCGAGTTACAGTAGGTCTTCAATGTGAAACCTGAACGGCTTCTAGTGTAGAAACTGCGAGAGAAAGGTCACCCACAAGCAAGCACAGTAGGGCTACAGGAGTTGCAAAGTTGAACACACAATGATTGAAGAAACTAGAAATGACGGTCCAAAAATGAAGTGCCTGGACTGCAAGGTTCCAGTCAGTTTATATACTTCTACAACAACCACAATAATGATACTTACATAGGAACTCGCCAACATTATAAATACTCCCACATATCCCAACATTTTATGATTTCCAAAGGACTCTTTGACTAACACAACTAACAAGGCATTGACTATTTAATGCAGTCACAACTTACAAGACATAGGACTACTAGATGCATTCTCAACTGCTAAATATAAATATGATACTAATGATATCTTTGACTCCAGAAGTGACTCATCTACTGGACCCAACCACTTACAGATCCAAATCACTAAGTAGCTCAAGGCCCACAAGGCTGGCCCAGAATCCAGGTTGTAGAAGGGTCCAGAACTTGAATTGCATAAGCTGACACTTCCTGTTCTAAATTCTGTCCGCTTGGCCTATCTTGATCTCCATCATCTTCTCCGGGTTGAGAGAGACTCGATCTCAAGTCTGCATTGGCATCATCTTGTAAGTATGGAGTCAAATCAGCAACATTGAACACAGCAGAAGGTGTTTGGTAGCTCCACCTTGTATACATTATAATTTATCCTCTTTAGAATCTTGCATGGGCCAACCTTTTGTCGCTCCAACTTGCCCATCTTGATTCTACCCTCGCAAAGATAAACTCAAACAAGATCTTCCTCACCAAAAATTAACTTCTTTTTCTTCAAATCTGCTGCTCTTTTGTACCATGCAATGCTCTTCTCGATTTGTTTACGGAATTGCTCATGTATCTTCTTTATGATGGCAGTAAGCTCAACAACGTCTTCAGCTGGTTTGCTTAGACTTAGAACAGGAATCAAGTCTAGAACATTGTTGGGATTTGCTCCATAGACCACCTCAAATGGAGACATGGTGGTGATACAATTTCCAGATCTGTTGTAGTCAAACTCTGCATGAGAAAGTGCTAAGCCCCATTGTGTAGGCCCATCCTTCACTATACAACAAAGAATATTACCCAAGCTTCTACTAACAACTTCAGTTTGCCCATGAGTTTGAGGATGAAAGGCACTATTGAAGCACAACTCAGTTCCCAAGCGCTTCCATAATGTCCTCCAGTGGCTGATGAATTTTCTGTCTCAATCAAGTACAAAGTCTCTACCATTTATGAAGGGGATGAGAGATCCATCCCATGGATGCCCAAAGATTGTGGAATAAGGGGCGAATTTCAAAAAATTTCTCTCCCTTCAACTGGGAATCACATTCCCTATTTAGAAAATCATATTTTCAAGGATCACTCTTGAACCTTAAACTGAACCAGATCT